TGCACCTTAAAGACAAATCTTCAGAGGCATAACTGATTATTTTTCAAAAAGGAAAAACTTACAGAAATGTGGCAGAGACCAGTGTTTCCTCCCTTTATTGCACTAAGATCATGTGTGGGGCACATGGCTAGAATACATTTCAGCCAAGCAATTAGGCAGGGTCAGGTGACTTAGTTATCTCCAACAGAACACAGGTGTTAGTGAAGTGCACCACTTCTGGGCAGGGGCTTTAAGAGCGGGTGTACCACTCTCAGCTAGTTGTTGATTTTAACCAGTCTCTAGCAGATGGCAGTGCCAAAAATTGGAAGAAAGCCAGATTCCTAAATCACTATTTGTAGAAAAGTTACCTACTAACCACCAACACCAGCCTGGGATATGAGCAAGAATTAAGCTTCTATCGTCTGTGAGCCATTATACATTTGGGGATTTATTTGTTATAGCAGTTTAGCCTATGCATTTTTTTAAAGACCTAAGGAATAGTAGAGTAGGGATGAGGGAATTAAAGCACTAATTGAGACAGACCTAAAAACTTGGGTCAAAATGAAAATCATTACAAAATACAGATAATAAAAATCATGTCTCTATGGTCTACTTAAGCACTAGTTCAGAATGGTAAATTCATCATTCTGTTAGCAGCAATGTTGAGGACCTAGTTTCTTTAGCTTATATGTCATGCTAAAGCAAGTGTCATTATAGTGCCTCATTGCAGAGAGCGGAACTGTTTTTGACATTTACTAAGTAAACATTGTAAAATATAACACGTTGTTCTTGTTAACTTAAACATGAAGATTTTCTTTACAAGCTGGTTTGCAAGACACCTAATATTATTTTACGTTAAACTAATAGGAATAGATAAGCAAAACAAATTCGTTTTCAGCCATTCCCCTTTCAGAGGCAAAATTATTCATTCTGATGAAATCTGTCCTTATCTGAAGTGATCTTCCTGAGAACAGAACATTCTAGGAAGACCTCTCTGAGTAGCCAAAGCATACTCTCTCAAGTAGTGCCACTTCAGTTGTGATGTGCCATGACAATTTGCTAGTCAGAATTTCCTTTTTTGCCCTTTTCCTTTTCATGTCTCCCCTTGCAGTTATCAGTTCTTCCTTTTCTTTTCCTTATGTCTATTTGCTGAGCATTTAATTGGGTGCAAATGTAAAGTGCTGAGAGAAAAATACTCAGACCTCACATATTTTCCAAAGAAAAAGAATAAAGACATTAAAACTATAATCTATTAAATTAAAGCCAAAACATGGAAAAAGCAGAGAGAAAGCATGGATTCTATAACATTCTATGTTATTTGTCAAGGCTATTGTATATGGAGTTAGTGAACTGGGGGAATATTGGGTAGGAAGCCCATTAAGACCCTCCCGATTTTAGGCTCCCAATTCTGGAACAGATTCAGAGAGCCAGAACCGCTGTGTCCCTCGAAGAAAAATGGCTTTAAAATGTAAAGAAATAAATTTTTCTAAATTTGGAGAAAGGAAATAGAGTTAGAGACTTTGGAATTAAAATAAAACATATTTAAAAGAGCTGTTCTGGCTTAGGTGCTGATTTGCAGAGATACCAAAAGTATAACGAATAGGAGAATTAATAGAAAACACATATGTTAGCAGGTATGATCAAAACAAGCAAGAATAAGGACCACTCTCACAAGGTGAGGATTCTGGTTTATGTTTTTTAAAAAAAGCAGAAAAGAATGAGATGGGTATTGAAGGGGACTGGGAAAGTCTTGAAGGACAGGGTGGGGTTGAAGGAAGTCATATAAGAATTGAATTATCTTCAAAGGAAAGCAAAAATAGCAACTCAGATATAGCAAAACTACAGTATTTCTGCTTCATGATTTAAAATAATATGTAAGTAATCAATTTCAGAATACTCTAAAACAAAATTCACAGGCTAAGTATATGCTTTAGGATCACCAAGGACAAATAGGGATACCCACATCTGCCATCTGGAAGGAGAAAAGAAAGCCAGGAAAATTGCATCAGAAAGCACAGAAAAGAACTAGGGGGAAGCCAGAACAGAAATACTTGTCAACTGCACTTAGTGACTTGAAATTTGTTGCAGAGATTGGAATGTTGCCAGCCAGGGGCATTTTTAGCTTCCGTATGCCATAATCTAACTTAAAATTGTACATGTTACTTATGTTAATTTTTGTCTATTTAATCTTCTAAGAAAACTCCATTGACCTTGTCTTCTGTATGTATCAGACTGACCCAGGACTGCTTGGGTATAGGGGACACAGTGTGAGAGTTTAGAGTTCTGAGAGAACATTTCACCAGAAATGAAATAGTCTTATGCATATCACTATTTATTATGTTGTTATTATGTTGTAACTGGGTTTCGTTTTATTTTCTGTTTTAGTTCTTTAGTATTTTCTGTTCTTCTACTAGACTATGAACTCCATGAGACCTGGACTGCATCCTGCTTACTCCTGAAGTCTATCACCCAGTCTACTACCTGCTATAAGTGTGGAACTCAATAAATGCTTGTTAATTGAGTGAATGCAGGACTCAAGCTAATTACTCAATGATTTTATAGAAAGTTAAACTAACATGTCTGTTAAAAACGTATGAGAAGTTTCACTTCCAGGAAAACAGAGCAGACACATTTGTCCTTATACCACCTATAAAGCACAACTAAAAGTCTTCTGCCCTACGTAGAAAANTATTATTGTTTGTTCTAACAGAAGCATTAATGAGGGGTGAGGACATACATAGGAGGCTAAGGGTGACTACTATAGTTGAGACTAATCGTGGGAACAGATGGCATTGTCCCCACGTTAGGGATCAGCAGACAGGCTCTGAGAGGTGGGTGACCTGCCCAAGGTCACACAGCTGGTGTCTCCACAAAGCATGTCTGAGCCGTCACTGTCTCTGCAGGAATGCTCGCCCTACGCAGCCCACCTCTACGACGCTGAGGACCCAACCACTCCCCTGCGGACGGTGCCTGGGCTCTGTGAGGACTACTGCTTGGACATGTGGCCGACATGCCGGGGCCTGTTCCGCCACCTCTCTCCCGACCGCGAGCTCTGGGCTCTGGAGGGTAACCGTGCCAAGTTCTGCCGCTACCTGTCCCTGGACGACAAGGACTACTGCTTCCCACACCTGCTGGTCAACGAGAACCTCAACTTGAACCTGGGCCGCGTGGTGGCCGACACCAAGGGCTGCCTGCAGCTGTGCCTGGAGGAGGTGGCCAATGGGCTGCGCAACCCCGTGGCCATGGTCCATGCCCGGGACGGCACCCACCGCTTCTTCGTGGCTGAGCAGGTGGGGCTGGTGTGGGCCTACCTGCCCGACCGCTCGCGGCTAGAGAAGCCCTTCCTGAACATCAGCCGGGCAGTGCTCACCTCACCCTGGGAGGGCGATGAGCGCGGCTTCCTGGGCATCGCCTTCCACCCCAGCTTCCGGCACAACCGCAAGCTCTACGTCTACTACTCGGTGGGGGTCAGCTTCGATGAGTGGATCCGCATCAGCGAGTTCAGGGTCTCTGAGGATGATGACAATGCCGTGGACCACGGCTCTGAGAGGTGGGTTCTCTGGGAGCCTGCACCATAGACCC